TCTGCCTCGCTCTGTGTCTGTGTGTGTCCGAGCAGATCCCGCTGGAGTCGGGGTCAGACTAGATGCCCTCGCAGGCCCCTTCTGCCTCAATTCATACGGCACTCAATCCATATCCTCAAACCCAGTTCGAGCTTTAAAATACGGGGGAAAGAAAAAGGTGTTTTGCCGAGCGGGCCTCCGCATCCTCCTCGTTTAAGCCGGTCCTGAGGACAGAGGCCCCCGGCTCCTCACCGGTTGGACTTCTGCCTGTGCCCCCAAAGGTACATCACGCAGGAAGGCCACAAGCTGGACACGGGGGCCCCGCGCCCGCCCGCCACCGTGACCAACGCCGTCTCCTGGCGCTCCGAAGGGATCAAGTACCGGAAGAACGAGGTCTTCCTGGATGTCATCGAATCCGTGAATCTCCTGGTGGGTATTTGGCCTCGTTTCGGTTCGTTTGTTAGCATTATGACCAGCGTTCGTTGATCGTCATTTTCATGTTTCTTTTTATCATTACTTATTTTAAGGAAGTGATAGAGTTATTCGTTTGTTCTAGATTTATTTTTGTTATTTATTTTAGATGAGTATATTTATTTATATATGTATATAAATGATCAAATCTATTTAGAAACAATCATATGTATATAATCATGTATATAAATAAATATATAAATATTTATAGTTGTGTAATATGTATATAATAGTATAGTATAAATATATATTTGTGTATATATGTGCATATATATATGTGTGTTTATATGTGTGTGTATATGTGTGTGTGTATGTGTACATATATGTTTATGTGTGGCTATATATGTGTGTGTGTGTGTGTATGTGTGTGTTTATGTATATATGTGTGTATATATATATATATATGTGTGTGTGTTCATGTAAATTTGCATGTATATATATATGTTTATGTACATATGCGTGTATATGTATGTTTGTGTGCGTATATATGTTTATGCTTCTGTGTGTGTGTGTATATATATATGTTTATGTTCATGTATGTATATGTATGTTTATGTTCATGTATGTATTTATGTATGTGTGTATGTGTGTATATATATATATATATGCTTACGTTCATGTATGTATTTGTGTGTGTGTGTGTGTGTGTGTGTGTGTGTGTGTGTCTGTATATATGTTCGTGTGCCGGGCTCCCTGACCCCTGCTCCCTCCGCCCCAGGTCAGCGCCAACGGGAACGTCCTGCGCAGCGAGATCGTGGGCTCCATCAAGATGCGGGTCTTCCTCTCGGGGATGCCGGAGCTCCGCTTGGGCCTGAACGACAAAGTGCTGTTCGACAACACCGGCCGTGAGTGTGTGTCCCCCACGGGGGTCCCCAAGCCCCGGGGATGCTGGGCCCGGGGAGCCCAGCGGCTGGCGGGGACGGTGGGAGGCATAAGACCCCCAGGGAAAACGAGCCGAAGGGAAAGGCGCCCGTGTCATCCAGAAATTCGAGTTTAAATTGAATTAAAGAAATTTAAATTAAAGAAATTAAGACCGGCAATCCAGAAATTAAAGCCCATAGAAACCCGGCAATTAATACAAATTCGCAATTAAAATAGCAGGAGAATCGAAAGGGTGTTGCTTGGCATCGAAAGGAAAGGCACCCGTGTCATCCAGAAATTAAAGTTTAAATTGAGTTAAAGAAATTTAAATAAGAAATTAAGACCGGCAATCCAGAAATTAAAGTCTGTATAAATTAGAAATTAAAATAGCAGGAGAATCAAAAGCCGCCCGTATAATCCAGAAATTCAAATTTAAATTTAATTGAAGAAATTTAAATTAAAGAAATTAAAACCGGCAATCCAGAAATTAAAGTTGGTAGAAAACTGGCAATTAAAACAAATTAGCAATTAAAACAGCGGGAGAATCGGAAGGATGTCGCCTGGCGCCCTTTCAGTATAAAACTGGCAGTTAAAGTTGGTAGAAAACCGGCAATTAAAGTCTGCAGAAACCCGGCAATTAAAGTTGGTAGAAAACCGGCAATTAAAGTCCGTAGAAAACCGGCAATTAAAACAAATTAGCAATTAAAATAGCGGGAGAATCGGAAGGGCGTTGCCTGGTGGCAAAGGGAAAGACACCCATATAATCCGGAAATTAAAGATGGTAGAAAACCGGCAATTAAAGTCCCTAGAAAACCGGCAATTAAAACGAATTAGCAATTAAAACAAATTAGCAATTAAAATAGCGGGAGAATCGGAAGGGTGTTGCCTGGCGCTGAAAGGAAAGGTGGCCGGGTCATCCAGCAATGCAAGTTTAAATTGAATGAAAGGAATTAAATTAAATTGATGGAATTTAAATGAAAGACGTTAAAAGCCGGCAATTACAGTCTCTATAACACCGGTAATTAAGCCTGGCAATTAAGCCGAAACGAAGCTGCTTCCCTCCCGGTCCTGTGGGTCAGCAGGGAGAGGGGGTGGCTCCGTCCCTCTGGGGCCCCCCCATAGTGTCTGGGTCCCTCTGCCCCCCCACGGCCTATGGGTCCCTCCGTGTGTCCCCCCATAGTGTCTGGGTCCCTCTGCCCCCCCACGGCTTGGGGGTCCTTCCCCCCCACGGCTCGGGCCCCACGCCCCAAAGCCCCGCCGGCTGCAACCGGCGACCCGGCTTGAAAGGGGGGGCCGCGGACGCCCCCCCGCGCCGCCGAGCCTCAGCCGCGCCCCCCACCCCACCTCTGCCCCCCAGGGGGCAAGAGCAAGTCGGTGGAGCTGGAGGACGTCAAGTTCCACCAGTGCGTGCGCCTCTCCCGCTTCGAGAACGACCGCACCATCTCCTTCATCCCCCCGGACGGCGAGTTCGAGCTCATGTCCTACCGCCTCAACACCCACGTGAGTCCGGGGGCGGGGGGGCGGCTGGGGATGATGGGCTGGCTGCGGGGGGGCAGCCGGGGCTGACGGGTCAGCCGGCTCTGCCCGCAGGTCAAGCCCCTGATCTGGATCGAGTCGGTGATCGAGAAGCATTCGCACAGCCGCATCGAGTACATGATCAAGGTGGGGGGCTCGGCAGGGGGGGCGGGGGGCGGGATGGCCTTCGGGGGACCCGTCCAGCCCCGCTGGGAGGCGGGGGGTGGGCTGGATGGGCTCCATGTCCCTCCCAACTCCACTCTCCCATGATCCTGTTCCCGGGGTTGGACTAGATGCCCTGCATGGTCCCTCCAACTCCACTATCCCATCATCCTGATCCAGGGGGTGGACTGGATGCCCTCTATGGCCCCTCCAGCTCCACTCTCTCATGCTCCTGATCCCGGGGTTGGACTAGATGCCCTCCACGGCCCCTCCAGCTCCACTCTCCCACGCTCCCGACCCCGGGGTTGGACTGGACGGCCCGGCCGGGGGCACCTCCGCCCCGCGGCCACCCAAGCCCATCCTCCCCGCAGGCCAAGAGCCAGTTCAAGCGCCGCTCCACGGCCAACAACGTGGAGATCCACATCCCGGTGCCCAACGACGCCGACTCGCCCAAGTTCAAGACCACGGTGGGCAGCGTCAAGTGGGTGCCCGAGAACGGCGCCATCGTGTGGTCAGTCAAGTCCTTCCCGGTGAGTCTCGGGGGGGGTTGGGGGGCCTCTGCCCTGCTGCCCGCACCTGGGAGGTTCGCAGTGGGCAGCCTGCCTGGGCCAGTCCTTCCCGCTGAGCCTGGGGCGGCTGCCACGCAATGGGGAGGGCGCCGGGCTACCTTTCCCTGGGAGGCTCGCAGTGGGCAGCCTGCCTGGTCAAGGCCTCCCCGGTGAGCTGGGGGGGGCGCCTGCGCACACCCGGGAGGCTCGCAGGGAACAGCCTGCCCGGGCCAGTCCTTCCCGCTGAGCCTGGGGCGGCCGCCACGCAATGGGGAGGGCGCCGGGCTGCCCGCGCCGACGGAGGCTCACAGTGGGCAGCCCGCCTGCACCCCTCGAGCCCCCCCCCCCAGCCTGGCTCTCCCCCCCCGCAGGGCGGGAAGGAGTACCTCATGCGGGCGCACTTCGGGCTGCCCAGCGTGGAGGCCGAGGACAAGGAGGGCAAGCCCCCCATCAGCGTGAAGTTCGAGATCCCCTACTTCACCACCTCTGGCATCCAGGTGAGGACTCGCCGCGTGGGGGGGGGGCCCATATCCGCCTCCCCATATCCGCCTCCCCATATCCGCCTCCCCATATCCGCCTTTGGAGGGCCCCACCTCCTCTGGGGTGGGGGGGGGGACACATGGGGACGGAGGTGCTCCCTTGGGGCGGGGTGGGGCGGGCACCGCTCCGGGCAGGACTGTACCACCTGCCTCTGCCCTCCCCCCTAGGTGCGCTACCTGAAGATCATCGAGAAGAGCGGCTACCAGGCCCTGCCGTGGGTGCGCTACATCACCCAGAACGGAGGTAGGCGGGGCCGGGGGGGTTGGGATCGGGGGCAAGGAACATGGGCCTCGGGTTCTCCTTGGGCGCCGGGGCCTCCCGGACCCGGGAGGCTCGCAGCGGGCAGCCTGCCTGCACCCCTCGAGCCCCCCCTCCCCGGCCCACAGGGTGGGACGGAGTGCCTCCTTCGGGGGCTCGGGCCGGGTCGGGGGTCGGGATGCACTTGGGGGGCCCGGGGGTTGGGGCCCCAGGGGGGCCTGGGGGCAGTGCCCCCCCAGAGCATCCATCCCACCTCCCTCTTCCTCTTCCTCTTCCTCTCCTCCCAGACTATCAGCTGCGGACACAGTGAGGAGCCCGGCTGCCCCCCGCCGAGGAGGACCCAAATCCGACCCCCGAATCCGTCGCCCGGCCCCGAATCCGACCCCCGAATCCGCCGCCCGGCCCTCGAATCCCCCCACGTCGTTCCCGTCCGGAGCCTCCGCCCCCGAGCCGCCCTCCGGCAACCCATGTTCCCCACCTCCGAGGCGCCAGAATTCCTGCTTCCCGCCCCTTCCCAACATCTGCCGGGCCACACGCCCCCCTGGGAACCGGCGGCGATCCGGAATTCCGGCCGCTCCTGTGAAATCCGGGAAGGGCCCGCGCGGATCCGGCCTCGCAGCGGAGACGCTCCGGGAGGGATCCCGGATCCCGGCGGATCCCAACGTTCCGGCGGGTTTTCCGGGGAATCACGGCGCCGCTTCTTCCGAGAGCGGGATTCCGGAGCGGCCGGAGAGGCCTGTGCTTGTTACATGGAGGAAGTGGAGTAAAGTCGGTTCAGCTTGGCTGGTCTCCGTGATTCCGAGGTTTCCAGGGGTGATTCCTGTGTCCGGGGAAAGGGGGGGGGATTCCCGGGGGAATTCATTGGGGGAATTCTTTGGGGGAATTCTTTGGGGGAATTCCTTCGGTGGGGTTTGAACAGAGTGAAATGGGAGGGGGTTTGGGGGAATTGAGAATTTTTTGGGAGAAATGGGAGGGAATTTGGGGGAATTGAGAATTTCTTGGGAGAAATGGGAGGGGATTGGGGGGTTGAAGGGAATTTCTTGGAGAAAAGGGAGGGAATTGGGGGGGAATTGAAGGGGATTTTGGGGGCGAATTGAAGGGAATTTTTTGGGAAATTGACTGGAATTCCTTGGGAGAAACTGAGGGAACGTCCTGGGGGGAACCATCGGGAACGGCCCGGGACGGGCCAGGCGCAGCATTGCGACTACACAACCCACCCACCCTCCAGCTCAAGGGGGCAGGGAGCCAGTGGGGCCGCCGGGTCCCCAATCCGGCTCCGGAACGCCGAGGGCAAGTCCGTGGGGATCGGGGCGAGCTGGAAGACCCCCAACGAAGACCACCGGACCCCCCCCCGGTGTGGGGCCAGAGTGGCCTGCGCATCCTGGTCGGAGAGGGACCATGGGACGTCGGCTCGGGAAGGAGGTCCGTGGGGTCCGGCGCCTCACCGAGGGGAGCCCCCCAAGTGGGGCCCAGATCGGCCCCCTGGGGCGTGAGGGGGGACTTCCGGGAGGGGGCTTGGCAACCCGGGTTGGGGGGGAGACCAGGAGAAGGCTCCTCAGGGTGAGGGCAAGATGGCGAAGGGACCATGTGCCTGGGGGGGGGTTCCCCACACGGGGGACGTTCGGGGGGGAACTGGGGAGACACCTGAGTGGGGTGGAGGGACGTGGGGTGCTGCAACAGCGGGGGGTGGACTGGATGGCCTTCAGGGCCCCTCCAGCTCCTCTATTCCATGATCCTGATCCACGGGTTGGACCTGATGGCCTCCATGGCCCCTCCAACTCCACTATCCTATGATCCTGATCCAGGGGGTGGGCTTGATGACCTCCGTGGCCCCTTCCAAATCCAGTGCTCCATGTTGCAGTTATTCCTCCTGTGTCTGACCCAAAATGGGCCAACATCTGTTCCCAAGGACCAGATTCCCCCCTTTCAATGGCCTTCAAGCCTCCATCCCCACCATGGGAAACCATTTCCCAGCATGGGAATGGGGATGATAGGCTCGGAAGTCGAGCTAGAAGTGCCTCTAATGTGACAAAAAAGCAGCAAAAAGAGCCAGCAGCTTTTCAAGGTGGATCTTGGCTGCCCCAAGTGGCCAAAACTTGAACTGCAGCCCTGATTTTTTGGAATATGCATTTAATATGAAGGGGAAGGTTGTTAGTGTTCCGGGTCCCATTTCAGGGAAGGGGATTATGGGTTAGGGAGTAGGGGTAAGGTTTGGGTTGGGGACGTGGCGCGATGGCCATGAAAGTGGAGATGGATGTGGATTAATTCCATGATCCTGATCCAGGGGTTGAACTGGATGGCCTCCAAGGCCCCTTCCAACTCCACCATCCCATGATCCTCATCCCGGGGTTGGACTAGATGGCCTTCAAGTCCCCTGCAACACCATTATTCCATGATCCTGATCCTGGGGTTCGACTTGATGGCATTCAGGGTACTTTCCAGCTCCACTATCCCATCATCCTGATCCAGGGGTTGGACCTGATGACCTTCATGGCCCCTCCAACTCCACTATTCCATCATCCTGATCCAGGGGTTGGACTAGATGTCCTCTAGGGTCCCCTCCAGCTCCTCTTTCCCATGATTCTATAATTCATACAGTATTTGAACAGGAATGTGTCAACTTCTGCTCCCAAGAACCTGATATTTTCCTTCCAACACTGTTTGATCGCGGATCCCCACCACGGAAAACCATTTCCCAGCGCGGGAATGGGAACGATGGGCTCGGGAGTCGAGCTGGAGGTGCCTCTAACGTGCCAATAAAGCAGCGAAAAGAGCCGGCCGCTTCTCAAGGTGGATCTTGGCTGCCCCAAGTGGTCAAAGCTTGAACTGCAGTCCTGATTTTTTTATACAATGCATTGATAACAGGGCGATGGTTGTTGTGGTTCGTAGATCTATTTCAGGACTGGGGATTATGGGTTAGGGAGTCGGGTTAAGGCTGGGGTTGCGGTCCGTTTAGGGAGATCTACATTCACGGCCCCCTCCAATCTCATTTTTCCATAATTCTATGGTCCAGCGGGTTGGACTTGAGGACTACATGTCCCATTCCGCCTAAAATATCCCATGATCCCATCATCCACGGGTTGGACTATATGGCCTCCGTGGCCCCTTCCCAATCCTGCACTCCCATCATTCAAGGCTTCCTCCTCTTCATGACCCAAGATGGGTCAACATCTCCGACGGACCTGAATTCCTCCTTCCAGCGGTGCTTGAGCACGGATCCCCACCACAGAAACCATTTCCCAGCGCGGGAATGGGGATGATGGGCTCGGGAGTCGAGCTGGAGGCGCCTCTAACGTGCCACTAAAGCAGCGAAAAGAGCCAGCAGTTTTCAAGGTGGATCTTGGCTGCCCCAAGTGGCCAAAGCTTGAAATGCAGCCCTGATTTTCTACGGGAGGCATTTGGAGCAGGACGATGGTTGTTGTGGGTCGGGAGATCTATTCCAGGACTGGGGATTCTGGGTTATGGAATAGGGGAAATGTGGGGGCTGCTTTTTGGGGCACTAGATTTGCCTCTATGGCCCCTTCCTGCTCCTCTATCCCATGATCCTGATCCCGGGTTGGACTTGATGGCCTCCATGG